CATCGCTGGTGTGGAAGCTGGCACCGCCCGGGGGTCCGGCGGGGCCGCTGGTGCCCGCCGTCAGGGCCTCTGCCTTGCCCGCGCGTGCCCACCGGGGATCGTGGTGGGAACCTGCGCGGATCCTTTCAACTTCCTCAAATGAGATCGTCTCTGACTGCGCCCAGCTGGGTTTTTCTTTTTCTCGTTTTGACTAATCTCGCGCTGCGGGTCCTGGAGCTGGACCCTGGCGCCTGGGAGCCGTCGCTGAGCTCTCGTGGCCCAGGCTAGCACTCTGCCACCGCCCAGGATTGGTTCTGTGTGCGTGACTTCCTGTGACGGGTAGGTGGCTTTGGGCAGAGCAGCGCAGGGCCGCCATGGACAGCGGCCTGGCAGGAAGGAAGACCTGCCGTGCGGGCGGCCTGCCCTCAGCTCACCAGGGGGCATTCACTGCGCGCCCCAGGGCCCGGCTGAGTCCATGCCACCTCAGCAGCCACAGCTTGGTCTCCGCTAAGCACCATGGGAGGTCAAGAGACCCAGGGCATCTTCAGGGTAAACTTACATGTGTACCAGCCTATACACACAAGACGGTATTTCAGGCACCACCTGTCTTGCTGCCTGCTGGCCAAAGTAGCCTGAAGCAGCATGAGGAAACCTGCTCCAGAAATAGCATAAACCTTGAAATTTTGACTAATAATGGCAAAAAGAAGACTTAAGTTTTGGGCCTTCTAGTCACTTTACACCAGAGAGGAGACGCTACAACTTTCAAATGGACTCCTTAAGAGGGCCGGGCCTCGCGGAGGGACCAACCGCACCACCTCACGGCCCTCCCAGCCTCCTAGCCACGGCGCAGCATGTTCTGACCTCCCCAAGTAATATTAGATTGCTTAAGCAGATTCACATAGTTTATACACAACGTATTTGAGTATCTCACTAGCCATCGACACTAGGTAATGATCTTAACAGTGTAAGGAGAGACAGAATTAGGGAAGTCTCAACCAGGTGCTGGTAGCCAATGCCTGTAATCCTAGCTACTCAGGAGGCTGAGATCTGAGGACCACAGTTACAAGCCAGTCCAGAAAGAGAAGTCCATGAGACTCTTCTATTCAATGAACCAAAAAAGTTGGAAATAGAGCTGTGTGGCTCAAGTGGTAGAATGCTAGTCTTGAGCAAAAAAGCTCAGGGACAGCACGCAGACCCTGAGTTCACACCTCAGGACCAGCACCAAAAAGAGAAAACTGATAATAATTAAGGGAAATTTTCGGTTATAGTATGACTTACACAAAATAGCTTTAAATGATCTGCATGTGTCATGGTCTGAGATTGCATTCAGTTCTGTGTTGTTTGGTGGCCTCGGAAGTCTTTCTGAATTTCATAATCTTCAGAAAACTGAGGATTACTTCGGTGATTTCTAAAAATCTTTTTGTTGTTTTTATTTTTGGTGGCACTGGGGTCTGAACTCGGCCTTGTGAAGCTGGCACTACCACTTGAGCTAAATCTCCAGCCCACTTTCTTACCAGCCCTGGGACCTGTCCCTGAGCCTCTTTGTGCTCAAGGCTAGCACTCTACCACTTACAGCTTTTTGAGTAGTTTATTGGAGATAAGCGTCTCACCGACTTTTCTGTCTGGGGAACCATAATCCTCAGATCTCCACCTCCTGAGTAGCTAGGATTACAGGCGTGAGCCACTGGCACCTGGCTAATATCTTCATTTCTAAATTATGTACATTGCCTGTTTGCTTTTCTTCTTGCCATGGAAGCGGTTCTAAACAAGTCACTTATCTCCTTTCCTTCCTTGCAGACTTCTTTTGTGGTTGACGAAGTGAGCAACATTGTCAAAGAGGTAAGAGACAGCATGCTTGCTGGTCAAGTGTTGACAGCTCACGGGAGGGAGACTGCTATACTACCACACTATATGTCTTCAGTTAACTTGGCAACTTTTATTCTTTGTTGTTGGGTCATTAAAGTATCTTGTGTGGTGCTAGATTCAGGATTTGATTGTTCTTTAGTTATCTGGAAAAAAATTCGGGAATGTGTACAGAAAAAAATTCATGTTCTTAAAAACTGTCTCAGAATAGTTCCAGCAATTGAGCTATATATGTTTCAGCATTTCAGTTAGCATTTTTACTTCATGACTATGTAGATAAGAATGACTCCCATATTAAATAATGTGAAGTCAGATAGGAAATTTCATGTGGCATTATTACTGAAAGTTTCCACACTAGATTCTGCAACTAGCCTAGAGACTCACGACATACAATGTACTCAATGAAGCTGAGCACGAGGAGCACTGTACATCTGGTAGGATCTGGTGATGTGGTTTGAAACTGTTCAGTGTCCTTATGGATCGTAGCAACTCCCCTTAGCTGAAAGACCAGAGGGAGATTTGTTCTTCTTTGACTCTGGAGGCATATAATAAGCAGGGTGTGGCTCATTTAAATAATACGAGCTTCCTGGGAGAGGGAAGCTGAGATAGGAGGATGGCGGGTTTGAGGCCAGCCTAGACTCTCTCAGAAACAAAATACAAAAAAAAAAAAAATACGAACAAAAGAGCTGGGGTTGTGGCTCCAGTGGTAGAGTGCTTGTGTGCCTACTGTGCCACAGGCCCTGGTTTATTTCCCAGATGCAGGAAATGTGCATAAGAGGGCGCCCTGGGGTGCTGGCCTTCGTGGAGGTTACACAGCGGGGGCGGGAGGGCACGGAGCACATACTCACTGACTGTTAGCCTGCCTTTGCCGTGTGGCCAGGCCGCAGACAGGGCACTATGGGAGCACTAAAGGGGGAAGATGACCCTGGGAGGAGTTGGTAGCAGACAAGGATGACACCACTGTGGGCTGTAGACGGCATGTGCAGAGGCCCTGTGGTGACAAGCATGAAGTATGTGGGGAGTTGCAGGACCAGCACAAAGTACTGTACAGAGAGCCGGGCATTTCTGGGACAGAAATGAAGCCAGAGGTCTTCCCTGCCAAGGCAAGGCTGGCCTGGTGCCGACGGCGCCGCTCACTGTCATGAGATGATCTGGCCTGAAGGGTGTGTGAGGATCCTTATTTAATAATGCAAGCTATCCTTATAATGTCAGTTATGATGGGCGCAAATTATGGCATCACGCTGGAATGACAGCTCCAGCCTCTTCTGTGAAGCGTCCAAAAGCAGAATGATTGTCTTTTGTTACAGATTGTTCACCCTCAGACCCTCGGCAGGCTGGGTCACAGGAACCGGTGGGGTACAGGAGAGGTGGGCTGGGTTGTTTGCATCCAGTTTTGCCTTGGTTACCAGGTGGCAGGTACAACCGACAGACTCGCCACCAACCTCCAGGGAAGCATGAGCAACAGTAATGTCCCGTAACTTGTGTCACTAGCCTTTGCGGCTTGTTTGCCTTCGTAGTAGTTGGGTCTGTACTCAAGCTACTTTTGTTTAGTTTGGGTAGACATAACTTAAGTGGATGCAAAACTGGAGGGCCATTTTCCTCTCTGAAAAAGTGAATTTGCACATGCACAGGGAGGGTGGCAGAGTTGGCTGTGAACAATGCACGTCCCTCTTGGACAACACCAGTATCTAAAAGGTACCTTGGAGTCTCTAAAGCAAGAATGCTGGGTCCAGAGACTGCAGCGTCCTCAGCCAGGCGGGGCGGACATGTAGGGCATGAGGAGGAAGGTCTGGAGGTGGAAATTCCTCCACCCAGCCATCACAGAGCCCTCCACAAGCAGCTCGGGCCCTAGACTCCTGTGTTCTCTGCGCATCTCAGGACAGATCACGACTCTGAGAACTTCCAGTTTTAAGTAATAATTGTCTTGAAAATGCAGTATTTGGCTCTGGCACAAGGGTAGAAAAAAAACGGTTCAAAGCCAAACAGGCATCCGTGCAAGAGGAGCACTGCCAGGGAAAGAGCAAAGTCACTTGGTGGGACTCTCACGGCAGCGAGCTTAGCAGGAGCAGGCGGTGAGCTGTGCCTCCCTCATTGCAGAGCGCAGCACAGGAGGAGGGACGCTGAAAACGAAGGCATTTCATCAAAACTTAACTTTCAAAATGTCAAGGAGAGAAGGGCTGGGAAGGTGGCTCAGTGGTAGAGCGCTTGCCTTGCATGCATGAGGCCCTGGGTTTGATTCCTCAGCACCACATAAGCAGAAAAAGCCAGAAGTGGTGCTGTGGCTCAAGCAGTAGAGTGCTAGCGTTGAGCTGAATCAGAACTGAGGGGCAGCACCCAGGCCCACGACTGCCCCCCCCAAAAAAAAACAAACACAAAATGTCAAGGAGAGAACTGCACTCATGTTGTAACATTCCCAGAAACATGGCTTAAAAAAAGAAAAACATTTGAGTATGAGACTGCATGGATAGATTCCTATGTTGTCAGTTGTGCAAATAGCCAGCAATTCATCTAACATATACTGTTAGGTATATACTAGTATATATAAATACAACATATACTTATAATAGATATAAACTATAATATATACTGCTAGTATTAGATAAAAAAACATCTATTTGCCAGGTGCCAGAGGCTCATGCCTGAATCCTAGCTACTCAGGAGGCTGAGCTCTGAGGATCATGGTTTGAAGCTAGCATGGGCAGAAAAGTCACCATGAGACTCTTATCTCCAATAAACATCCAAAAACCAGAAGTGGCACTGTGGCCTAAGTGGTAGAGCTCTAGCCTTGAGGACAAAGAGGTTCAGGGACTGTGCCCAGGCCCTGAGTTGACGCCCCACACTGACAAAAAATAAGTAAGTGGGCACTGGTGGCTCACACCTGTAATCCTAGTTACTCGGGAGGCTGAGATCTGTGGATTGAGGTTCAAAGCCAAGCCCGGGCACGAAAATCCATGAGACTCTTATCTCCAGTTAAACACCAGAAAACCAGAGGTGGTGCTGGGGCTCAAGTGGTAGAGTGCTAGCCTTGAGATGAGCTGAGGAACAGTGCCCAGGCCCAGAGTTCAAGCCCCATGACTGACCAAAAACAAAAAACAAATCTATCACACATATATATGTATGTATGTATGTGTGTACATATATATATATATATATATATATGAAAGGATGCTGGCCTCTGGTGGCTCATGCTTGTAATCCTAGCCATTTAGGAGGCTGAGATCTGAGGATCAGTTTGAAGCCTGCCCCCAAAAGGAAGTCCATGAGACTCTTATCTCCAGTTCACCATTAAAAAGCAAGAAGTAGAGTTGTGGCTCAAGTGGTAGAACACTAGCCTTGAACAAAAACACTTAGGGACATAGTCCAGGCCCTTAGTTCAAGCCCTAGGAGTGGCACGCACATATAGAATAAAAGGGGTTGAGGGGCACTTGGCAAGGTAAAATATTTTCTAGCCTCAGTAAAAGTGTTGTTTATCTCTAGATTAAAACGGCAGTGAACTATCAAGACCCAGTTGTTAGGTCAAAATGTTAAACACATTTGACAGACCCTTACGTAAGTTCCAGGATCTTCTAGCCAGCATGTAGCTTACTCAAGTGCAATAGAATCTGTTAAACAGTACTGTGAAGGCGTTCATGATCAAGTGTGAACTCGCATCTTCCATGTTTCCTGTTGTCAGCGCCTCTGGCGGGCGGTTGGGGATGGACTGGAAGGGGCTGTGCATGTGCTGGTTGTGCCCTGTGTGCTTTTTTTCCAGGCCATTGAAAGCGCCATCGGTGGTAATGCCTACCAGCACAGCAAGGTCAATCAGTGGACCACAAATGTTGTAGAACAAACTTTAAGCCAACTCACCAAGCTGGGGAAGCCATTCAAATACATTGGTAATGGATTTTTGTTTCTGGTGGTTCTTTAAATACTAGCCCCAATTGTGTCAGGTACCAGAAGGCCATTTGATAACCCCAGGAGGTCCCTTATGTGGTGCGCGTTACCACACACAGGGCTGTGTGGCTGCAGTGCGCTCACCAGGCAGGACTGTACAGGATCTGACTGGAGGCCCTGGTAAAGAGGGGAGGGTGGAATTTGCCAGCAGATGAGATAAGGAGCCCCCACCTCATCATTTTTATTAGGAATGTCAGCCTTGTGGTCTATAGACATACCTTAGGCATGGGCAGTGTGAATTGTATGCTACTTAGATTCCTCTCATTACATTTTGTTTTAATTTAAGTGACTTGTGTCATTATGCAAAAGAATGGCGCTGGATTACACACAGCAAGTTCCTGCTTCTGGGACAGCTCCACTGACGGTATGCTTTCCGTGCTCCTCACCACGGGCCCAACCATCTTGTCGTCATTGCATGTTTGTAAAGTCTGGTGGTGTGTGGTACACCTTGTTCTTGTCTTCAGTGACCTTCCTGGACCATGCTGATAGCTAGTGTTTTATGTAACAGATGCTTGAATGCATTGCGTCTCCAAGTGCACCTTCTAAAAGTTCCTTGACCTCTTAGGGCACACTAAGAAAGAGCAAGTCCCCATAAGAGCTATGGACTGGCATGTTGGCTTGGTAGAGATGAGGTTCATTTCATTGCTGATCTGTCTCCCCTGCACCCCCAGGAAGCTGCACCGTGCGATGGGAGAACAAGACAATGTACTGCATCGTCAGTGCCTTTGGGCTGTCCATCTGACCCCCGCGTCCAGCCTGGGCTTCCCATGTCGTGTCTCTACTCCATCTTCTAACCACCAGCTGTGAATTCAGTGAACACCTTCCTCCTCTTTGCGTGTGTTGTGGCAGTCTTCAAACATGTAGAGAAATAAACCAAATGACTGTCCAGTTAGACAGTAATTCTCTGTAGTATGCAGCCCGTATTGCCACGTCTTAACCCTGTTATTTCTTTTCAAAGGTGCTAAAAACTGAAATCTGCTAGTGGGAAACTTTCTGAAATGATTCAAATACACTAATTTTCCATACTTTATACTTTTGTTAGTATAATAAATTATTCAAATTTAAACTTTGTGTTGGTCTTCAAAGCCTGTAGAGTATCACAAATGATTCTGCCCAGTTCCTTCTGAATCCATAAAACACAAATAGTTGAATCCAGTCAAGTTCAGTTCTTCTGTGCTGCCCTAGAGAGGCATGGAAGCCCTGGCCGCGTCAACAATAGGGAAGAGAGTGGTCAGACCAGGTCCTGCCAGACCTCGCTCTGCGGCTTTGGCCTGCTTCTCACGGTGACGGGCCTCGCAGGTGAGAAGCGCGGAGATCTGATCTCCCATCCTGTCAGTGTGGTTTTCCTGTACTGATGCCTCAGCTGGCACCATGGCATAAGGAGTGAGACAAACAAGAGGGAAGAGCCTAGAATCTCTTAGGGATGTGATACAAACGAATGCTGTCATGCAAAAAAGTTTCACCTCTGCATAGTCCTGTCCAGCAGGACGATTTGCTGAGTGCCTCATGGGGCGGGGCCCTGACCTCTTGGCCGAGCACCCTACCCGTCTTTTCCTCCTGGAAGTTTATGGGACAGCAAGTGAGCAAGCTGGAAGCTGTAGCACACGTGGTCCAAGGCTGCGACTCTAATGTTTAGCCCTGTGTTACCTGGAACAATCACAAATGGTTTCAGTACTTTATGGCTTACGAAATGCTTTCACAGTGGTTCACCTTATTTGTATAACAAGCATACAGTTGTTTGAAAAAGAAAGGAACATCTGCCCTGCCCGAGCACCTCAATGAGACACTCCACTTCCACTGTGCACCTGAGTTTCCCGGGGGCCTCTTGGTGCTCTGCAGTGAGTGCATGGGTGCCCTATGCAGCCAAAAAGTCAGGAGAGCAGCCACAGCACAGCAGAGGTGACAAACTCGGATCCCACCTATGTCCAAGCAGGTCTCCAGGGACTGCCTGTCTCAGGCCAGGCCTCTCAGTTGGCCTGGCAAGGTCAGGCAGACAAGAGACAAATGACAGAAGGGCCACATGGAGCCCTCACACAACAGGCCCCTCTGTGGAGCTCAACTAGTCACTCAGAGCTGTGTGGAGCCACCAACTCAGACTCCCACCGAGCCACACCTAACATCTCTGTGCCTTTGGGCAAGACCAACTGTCACTGTTCTGAAGAACAGATGAGCATAAAGTGCCGTGCCCCAAAACCAAGGTAACATCAGATTAAAGTTACACAGTTCTGGGCAGTGGGGCGGTGGACTCAAAGCCTAGTCCTCTAGGGTCCCTATGGGACTCACCCAGGCAGCATGTGCTGTCAATATGGTGCCATAGAGCTGCCAAAATGAACAGCCCACTCATCTCCACAGACCAGTGAGGCCACACGAATGCTGCGGGCAAAGGGCAAACGAGAGCGCGTGTACAAGCGCCGAATGTCTGATACTTAGCATTTACTGGAAGGGGAGTAAGAGAATGAAGGAGAATGCATAGGAGATGAAGCCCATGGACTCAGTTCCCTTCTCGCGGCGCTATTGGGAAGGGGTGCAGTAGGTAAGGCCTACCTGCAGTCAGTAGGTCACTTGAGTTGTCCTTGGGAGCCAGCTCATGCCCTGGCCCCTTCTTGTCTCGCCACTTTCTGGCCACCATGAGATGAGCGACTTAGTTCAGTGCTGCTTTTGCTGCCAGGATGTTGCACCTCCCCAAGGCCCACAGCACGAACTGGCTCATGAGCCCTCCACACCACGGACAACATAAAGCTCCCGTCCTTTACAGGGTCCTCTCGGGTTTGTGTCACAGTGACAACAGGTCTGACACAGAAGCATTGCTTTCTATAAATAAACATTTATTTACTTCCTCCTGATTGATTTCAACAGCCACCTTCAAGGCATGCTGTCCTCCAGTTCCAGACTAATGCATAATGCGAGCTCTCCTTCTGGGCATAAAGCTTGTTTTACAAAGATTTACTCTTTTTGTAAAAAGGCAGTTTTCAGTAGCAAAATCCCTCTATTTCATAGGACAGAATTACACTTCCCAATACATCCAAACATCACATCAAGATAAATTGTTCATCAAGATGTCACAGATAAAGTCATTTCCTTTTGGCCTGGGGAGCAGATTTCTGCCCCCTCCCCATCTAACCTGTAAGGCAACTGGCTTCTCAAACCTCAAACACATAAACGCTTTAGTGTCTTTAGTCTACCCTAATGTTCAGAAGTCCCTCTTAGTTTTCCCTTTAATGGGTGCCTGTTTTTCCTGTGAAGAAGATTTAGGAAATAAGTTGCTGGCTACATTGTAACTTATTTATCACAGCTGGGCCTTTTATAAATAGTTCACGAAATACTTATAACCTTTGCATTTAGTGCACTGAGTTTACATCATGTGTCTGAATTTGCTATGATCTGTATTTATGTACAGTGACCATCTTCCAAGCCTTGAAAACTATATATACATATTTATACACACACACATGCACACACGCCTGTGCATGCGCACGCGCACGTGCACACACACACACACATATCCTCTAGGCTTTTAGATGGGGCTTAAAGGCACCACTTCACTGTTGTAATGATTTAATAATAAATCAAGCAGGGCGATTATCCACATGGATAGTGAAGCACTCCCTAGGGAAGCTATGCAGTGTCTCTGTTCACCTTCCAGGTCCCCCGTGACTGGACCAATATTAAAACTATCCCAAAGTTGATGCAAATCAAGCCATTACCATGAAAGAACTAAAGCCAGCCCTTCGAGTTTATAATTTAAGGTTGCAAAATTTAGACTAAAAGCAAAACAATTTTCTTGTTTTGGTAGACTTTCTGCCAGTTTCTGGCAGACATTAAATGTTTTTACCTAATAGCTATGGCACATATTCTACAGCTAAATGCCATGTATTGTAAGCAAATTTTTACATACAGTATATATTGTCTTTCTACATGAAACTCTGAAGACAAATTAAAAACACATGATTTAATAAAGAACTATTTCCCCTTAAGTACTTTCTCTGAAATATTTTTGTTCCCAACAAAAAATACTCCTATATTTTTCATTTCATTGGTGCCATGAAGAATCAAAATATAAAGACATTAGCAATCAGTTTATGAGTACATTATCCAAGACAGACAGGTTTTCAAAAGTGCTAGTCTATGGCTAAATGCCTCACCTATCTTACACATAGTGATAAATAGCATCTGAATCATAGACAACTTTTATAATGATTAAAACATATAAACTATATTACATATTAGAATATGTCATTCAGTACAAGTCAGTCTTCATCAGTGTACATAAAACTAAGTTGGAGTAATCTTATTAGAAGTTCAAAAGTTTGGTAACAGAAAAACTTTTTCAGTATCAGTATCTCCACGTACATGAAATCAAAGTCATCACAGCATTGCAAATGTAAAAATCATGTAAACTTGAGCTACCCTTGCTGTATAGTTGTTTTCATTCATATTTAGAAGGTTTTCTCAACGAATGTCAGTGGAATCCGTATTGAAGCACAGGATCAAACAGTACAAGTCGGGAAGTCACAATGTCAGTCTCCCCAAGCCTGTCTAGGTCTCGCTGGGCACCAGGTGAGGCAGTGGAAACAGCGGCTCTAAGTGGTCATCTGAGCGCTGGTGCAGAGATGAGTACAACCTCACCAAAATGGCAGCAGAAAGGAGGACAGGTTGCCACATGTCAGCCAGCATTGCTGCGCGTGGTAGGGAGCAACAGGACACAGCCACACCGGACTCTGTCCCGAACTGATAGAAGAACCGAGCTGTCAGCAATGGGGTGTTAAGAGCCCCAAGCAACACACTTGGCTCACTTGACCACAGCAGGGCTCGCCACAGGCGGGAATGACTCCAAACAAGCTACCTGGACCTCAGGCTTGAAATGTCTTTCTCTTCAAATAGTTTTCAAATCTGAAACTGAAAACCTTTTTGGCTATAAAGCAATGTTTCATGGGGTTCACATGGAGGGGTCCCGTTCCCCAGCCCATGCACAGACACCTGGACAGCACCATGGCACAAGACCTCGCCCAGGGCTGGCAAGGTATAAAGGAGCTTTCCTGTCTTGTCAGCTCCCAACCAATCAGAACTCACGGCCCTTCGCTTCTACTCCAGTAGTGGGGTCGGGCCGGCGCATGACGAGTTACAGGAGTCACACCAACATGGCTCACCACACTGCACTACTGGCCTGGCTCCAAAGGCCTGGACGCCAGCCCTGGGAAGGACCGCCGCCTGGACCACAGACAAGGCTGCCCTTGCAGTGGTACCACGAGGAAGGGAAGGAGGCAAGGGAGAATTTTTCAAGAAAGAAAACAAAATACCCAATTCTTTCTCCTAAAAAATAGTAATTTCTCACACTAAAAACATGCTCTTTCTCACTGGACAGCTTCCACCTCTTCATCAGCCTCTCTCCTCAAATAATGCAGCCACCCTGATGATGTTGCTTGGCTCCACATTAAAATCTGCTCTGTTTTGGTTTTTCTTTTAAGGATATGTAAACAAATAAAGAACAGGAAACCTTTGCTTATGGGAAGTGTGAACACACGCAGGTCGCAGGCCGGGCTGCAGTGGCTGAGGAGAGGCCTCGGCCTCAGCCTCCCCCCACTGCCAGGGCTCAGTCACTGTCCGACTCCTCCTTGTACTTGGCACGAATGGCCTGGCCGTTCTGCAGGGGCATTTCTTCACAGTCGCTCCTGTGGTAATGAGACCGCTCTGGGGATTCCTTCACTCTCACCACTGTTCTCAAAGACTTCACCTTACAGCTCCCTGGGGAGCATCCCACCCCAAGATGTAAGACCAGAGAGAACTGTTCTCCTGTGGTCACTACGCACCGTGAGCGTCCTGCACAATAGAGTGTCACTACACACCACAAGCATCTTGCACAACAGATTACCACTACACCTAGTCACTACACACCGTGAATATCATCCTGCACAACAGATTACCACTACACACCGTGAGCATCCTGTACAATGAAGTACCACTACACCTAGTCACTACACACGAGTGTCCTGAACACAGAGTACCACTACACCTAATCACTACATGCCGTGAACATCCTGCACAACAGAGTACCACTACATGTAGTCAGTATACACCGTGAGCATCCTGCACAACAGAGTACCACTACACCTAGTCACTACACGCCGTGAGCAGCCTGCACAACAGAGTACCACTACACCTAGTCACTACATGCCGTGAGCATCCTGCACAACAGAGTACCACTACATGTAGTCACTACACACCGTGAGCATCCTGCACAACAGAGTACCACTACATGTAGTCACTACACACCGTGAGCATCCTGCACAACAGAGTACCATTACACCTAGCAACTACACGCCTTGCGTGTCCTGCACAGAGTACCACTATGCTTAGTCACTATACGCCGTCAACTACACCTAGTCACTATACACCCTGAGCATCCTGCACAAGAGTACCACTACACCTAGTCACTACACACCATGAGCATCCTGCACAACAGAGTACCACTACACCTATCCACTACACGCTTTGAGCGTCCTGCACACAGTGTACCACTACATGCCTTGAGCATCCTGCACAGAGTACCACTACACTTAGTTACTACACGCCGTGAATGTTCTATAGAATACCACTACACCTAATCACTCACTACACACCGTGAGCATCCTGCACAACAGAGTACCATTACACCTAGTCACTATACACCGTTAGCATCCTGCACAACAGAGCACCATTACACCTAGTCACTACACACTGTGAGCATCCTGCACAACAGAGTACCATTACACCTAGTCACTACACACCGTGAGCATCCTGCACAAGAGTACCACTATACCTAGCTACTACACACTGAGCATCCTGCACAACAGAGTACCACATGTAGTCACTACATATCGTGAGCATCCTGCACAACAGAGTACCACTACACCTAGTCACTACATACCATGAACGTCCTACAGAGTACCACTACATGTAGTCACTACACACCGTGAGCATCCTGCATAACAGAGTACCACTACACCTAAACTCTACACACCATGAGCATCCTGCACAATAGAGTACCACTACACGTAGTCACTACACACCATGAGCATCCTGCACAACCGAGTACCACTACACCTAGTCACTACATACCATGAACGTCCTACAGAGTACCACTACATGTAGTCACTACACACCGTGAGCATCCTGCATAACAGAGTACCACTACACCTAATCACTACACACCATGAGCATCCTGCACAATAGAGTACCACTACATGTAGTCACTACTACACACCGTAAGCATCCTGCACAACAGAGTACCACTACACCTAGTCACCACACACTGTGGGTGTTATACACACAGAGTACCACTACATCTAATAACTACATGCTGAGTATTACTGTACTTAGTCACTACATGCTGTTGGTGTTCTGCACAATAAAGTACCACTACATTTGGGCCTGAACCACGAGAAACTGAATGCTGTGGATCTCCAGAACCTCCCCACACCCAGCCCAGGTAATGGTCTGATCTTCTAGTGGCATGGGTCCAGTACTTGTATGGAGCCAGGCCACAGTGCTCCTGGGGACATGACTTACCCATAAATCACTTCATCGTCGGAGTCATTCAGCATAGAAAATGCAGGATTATCCTTCAGCTGAGACTCTGAAACCAAGAGAAGCCTTTCTAACATTTTTAGCCAAGACAGAAGCCCAGAAACTATGTGTTTGTCTGTGTGCACCTGAACAGGTCACCTCATGCATCTACCTGGGCACTGTGCACAGCGGGAGAGACGCCTGTAGGAATCAGCAGGGAACCACAGCGAAGACACAACTGGGGCCCCCAGAGGCCTGGCTCACCCTGGCTCTCTGTAATGAGGCTGTTCCTTTGTCACAGGTGCGCAGGAGGAGGAAGGCTGAGCAGTTTCCTGTCAGACACACTTGGTCCCTCACTCCCATTCCTCCTGTGAGGCTCTTATTCTGGAGGGGCTCTGTTTTTTACAGTTTGGGCTCCCCTTTGCATGGTTATGACATGTTATTTCATATGACTGGTGGGCATGATGCTTGTGCTAGGACCCACTAACCACACGAACTTGGTTATCACATGCTACAATGCATTTTCCAGGTGTGGTGCACCTGTGCTGTGATCAAGGCTCCACAGTCTTGGTTTAACTGCCTGGTATCTCTGTGCCCAAAGAGAAGGCACCAAAAGCCAGTGCCTGGCATCTGTGGAGAACCGCTAGTGGGCTCTGAACCAACACAGGCTTCTGTTTCAGCTGCCTAGCCAGCAACCTAGAGCCCGGGTAACTTACCATACAGAGCATTCTTTGATGGAGAATACACAAAGGCCAGAGTGTAGAGATAAAAGTTCAGCAATCCATAGAAAGATAAGAACTCAGCTGGTGATGCCAGTCAAGGGAGGAATGAGGTTTTTGACACATCCACTCGTGCCTCTGCCTCCCCCCAACCACCAGCAGTCCTTTCTAGTGCTACCACAGAACCGCTAGAGTCCGCAGCCTGGACACCAGGATGCCAGAGTTCAAGCCCACTGCTGGAGGTTGCAGCAGCCTTCCAGGCTCACAGGAGATACAGGTGAACCGTGACCTTTCTTCTCAGTGGAAGTGGGCTGCCAAAACCACCTCACACCATACAGCAAAGAGAGAGGGGGCAGGAGGCTCATGAGTTGCAAGACAGCCTAGGTTATATAGCGAGACCCTGTCTCAAATAAATAAACAACAACAAAACCCTGAAATAAACTCAAAGCAATCCTTCACCTCTGAGCTGCAAACCTCTGTGAGATCTGACAAAAGCATGTAAGCAATTCAGTCACAAAAATCTGAAAAATTGTGCAAGAGTTCTAGAGACATCGTGGCTCAAAATTCAAGGCATCCTGCATGAGGAGGGAGAGGGCGGCAGCCCCTGAATGGGACAGGGAGCCTGGGAGGAGCAAGCTGCTGACTGGCCTTGAGTAGCGTGAGGATGGAGGATGCCCCTTCTTCTGTCCACAGACTCAACCTGCCACTTTGTCTGGGGAACATGAGGATGCTGCTGGGAGGGGGATGTGAATCAGCTCGATGCTCTGCCAGGGGAGCTGCAGCTCTGGACTGACCCTCGTGTCACTCAGCTGCACGGTCCTGCCCCACTGAAGGAAAGCAGTGCGGGGCGGGAGTGGGGGGTGCTCCGAGCATGGAAGTCCTGTCTGGCTCCAGGCTGTGCCCCACAGTGACTCAGCGCAGTGTGCTCCAGCTTCCTACCCTCAGAGTGGGCTGACAGAGCCGACCCTTCCCAGAGCTGGCAGGAGGCCAGAAGCCAGGCCTAGAGTCCCTTTTTAGCACGGATAGAGTGATGAGGCCCCGAGGCTAGCAGAGCCCAGGTCACGGGAGCCGATCTGCGTCCTGCAGCATCCACGCCTAAGGTGCTACCAGCACCCCCAAGCCCCTGTTGCCGGTGAGAAGGATATAGTTCTGGTAGTGAGTGGACAGTTCTGCTACAAAGTTGTCTTCTAAAACTTGTGCTCCAAACCTCAAATAAAGGATGACAATGCTGGAAAAAGAAGAGGGCAGAGACAGTTGTCAAAGTGCACAGTGGCATTATCGTCACCTCACTGTTGGCACTGTTAGCGCCTGGTCTAGCCACTCACACTTCTCTGAGACTGCTGTTCCAGGGCCCTCGTGCTGGGGGGGAGGGCTGGCTCCCTGCCGGCTGGAGGATGGAGTGAGCCAACTTGAGGCATAAGCGCCATGGTGGTCCATCCAAGCCTGGTGCAAGTTTGGCATGTTCTCCTCCTTCCTCTCTTCCTGGTGCATACTTCAGAGGTCAGTCTCTAGAGGGGGGCACTGCTCAGCTGCACCCCCTCCTGGCCACAGTGGCCCACCCAGCAATGAAAGCCACTCCCCACTTGCTCAGCCCCCACACCTGCCACCACACTCTCTGAAGAGCCCCTCTGCACCAGGACCCGCTTCCCATCCGTCCTGTGGGTCAGGCTCCCCCAGAAGCCCCAAGCTGCAAGATGACCTGGACCCCTCCTCCCTACAGACACCTCCAATGGCCATAGGACTGGCCAATAAAAATGAAAGGCAACCCCCTTCTCCTCTGCATGAGCCCCAAGATGCATGGCACAGAGATTAGACCATGCTCCTCTGGTGGCCTGCGCAGCCCCTCTGCCCTCTTGCTGCTACCCCCCCTCGTCCCCACCCCCATGGGCCTCTGCTGATGGAGCTCACGCCCACATCCACATCTCCTGTGCCTCCTCCTCAGAGCTGTTCCCGCCAGGCTGGCCCAGCCCTGCGGCCACTGCCTCCACTGTCCTGGGCATGGCACCTTGCTCTCACTGGGGCACAGGGCTACTTGTTTACTTGGTTCCACTGTCCTCCATGGGCTGGGTGATGGGATGGGATGCTGTGTGTAGAGAGTAATAGTGTGTGAATGGGACAGTTTGAGTGTGGGTGTGTTAGTGTTGAAGGAGGCATGTGTGAGGTATTAGTGCACATGAAGGGGGTATGGCTAGTATGTTCCTGTGTCATATGTAAGGGTGTGTTAAGTGTGTGAGTGGGTGTTACTGTGAGGGTGTGTGTTAGTGTGAGGATATGCCAATGTGTGTGAGGGTGTGTATTAGTGCGTATGTTGGTGTGAGATCTGTGTTGGGGGGTGCGATGGTGTGAGGGGGTTGTGGTATCTGGTGTGGGTGAGGGGCTATGCTGGTGTGAGTAAAGGTGTGTTGGTGTGGGCTGGGGGCTGTGTGTGTGTGAGTGGGTATGGAAAAGGGCCAGAGGCTTCCCACAACCTAGAGAGAAGAGACTGATGGACACATTTAAACACACATGCGTGTTCTCCCGTGAACTCACTGATTGAAATTCGGGTTAACTCTGAATTCACACTCAGAGTGTGAATCCTCGCTCTCAGTGAGGCTGCGGCCCCAGAGCCACCCTGCCAAACCTGGCCAAGGGCCAGGAGGCTGGGGGCCTGTGCTCCATCTAGGAAGAGGCCACATCTGCTCATCTGCCATCCACACAAGGAAAAGAGACACACGATAATTAGATCTCCTCTCCATCTGGGGTTTGATTTTAGATGGAGACAAACTCAACAACTGGTTACCTGGGATAGAATTAAATAACTCCCGCCTAGGGGCCTTGGTGCATAGCTCACAGCTCCCTCCCTGGCCTGCAGCTACCCCAACTTCCACTGCACTAAGTCACACACAGGCGCTGGTCCTCAGAACACCAAAAGGTCCGGTGAACCTCATGCCGCCTGGCATGCCCTAATTCTCTGGTGCTCATGACAAGTACCAGAGCAACACAGACGAGGGCTTGGCACACAATACAAGCCCGCATCCTCTGGGCACCCTTCATACTCAGCTGCCCCATCTTGAGGCTCAGGATCTGTGATTAGAGGAATGGGGCCAAAGTACCCTAAATGAGCTCCACACAAGAGTGACTGGATACTCAGGACAGTGACAATGCAGTGTTACTAGGTTCTAGAAATAAAATCTTACCTAATGACAAGCACTACAAAGGTCAACGCAGTCAAAAACTTTAACCTGAGATCTGAAAAAAAAAGTACCTCTGTGAGCAAATTTCCTTCTCATCTCAGATCTTAAGAACAAAAGCAAGCCCTCCCTTAGGACTCTCGGCTCTGCTTGACCCCAGGGTCAAGCTGCTCAGCCAGCAGCTTGTCTTGACTAAGGATGAGCATGCGGCCCCAGAAGGCCCTAGGCAGTGTTCACTGCTTCCACACAACGGCTCCCTCTCAAGGGCCAATCACCACGGGGCCTCCTGCAGCTCCCTGAAGAGCCCTGGCTTGGGAGAATCCAGCTACCACCCGTGGGGTTTCTGCAGGACACTCACCCACATAAGGCATGTGCCGGAGCTCAGAACATGCCCGCACTATCAAGAACAAGAGGTATAAGATGTACACAGCTGCCACCACCATGAAGAAGACCTTCATGCCCTGGAATCAACAAGATGGATACTTGGGTAAGGGCAGGCCTTGGGGTAATCTCCTCTAGTACCCCCAAAGGGAGCTCCCCGCTAAGACTAGAAAGGACCGCAGACAGACCCAGGAGGGGCTCCCCGAGCACAGGCTGCCCACCCAAGGGTATTGCCAGCCCAGTGGACCAATGAGGCGATCCTCCTCAGCACTGTGCCCACTGCTGGCTGCCCAAGGCCGGGGGCCAGGGTGTTGAGCACCTGGAGGTGGCCAGGTGGCCAAAGCTTCTCTGTCCCTGGCTGGGGCCCAGGCCCTGCCCCAACAGTGAAGAAGAGGCCTGTGCCTAACAGGCCCCACATGGGGCTGAGCTATGCAGTGCTAGGCAAGTCTCAGTTGCCCCGGACCTGGCTTCCATCTGCAAGAAGAGGGTGTGCGAAGGACGCCACAGGTTCACAGGCAGCACTGCTACAAGCTGACACAGGAAAGCCACCTCTAAGGGCAACGGCCAGCAGCCCTGGCCAAGGCCAGTCCCCTGCAAGGGTGAGTGCTCTCCACGCTGAGCGCTCCCTCGGTCCTATACTGACCTAGGTGCGCCTCCACTCCTCTTCTCTCTCCACGCTGAGCGCTCCCTCGGTCCTACACTGACCTAGGTGCGCCTCCACTCCTCTTCTCTCTCCACGCTGAGCGCTCCCTCGGTCCTACACTGACCTAGGTGCGCCTCCACTCCTCTTCTCTCTCCATGCTGAGCGCTCCCTCGGTCCTACACTGACCTAGGTGCGCCTCCACTCCTCTTCTCTCTCCACGCTGAGCGCTCCCTCGGTCCTACGCTGACCTAGGTGCGCCTCCACTCCTCTTCTCTCCTTCTCTGTCCCAGCACTTCCACCAGAAAGTGTGTGTCTTGACTGGTAGTCAGGACACAGTTTTTGTGTGCATGCAATATGTGCGTACTAGTCATGAGTTTTCATGCTCAAGGCTAACGCTCTGTCATTTGAGTCACAATTTCACCTCCAGCATTTTGCTGGTTAATGAGAAATATGAGTCTCACAGACTTTCCTGCCCAGGCTGACTTTGAACTGCAATCTTCAGACTTCAGCCTCCTGAGTAGCTAGGATTACAGGCATGAGCCACTGGTGCCAGGCAAGACAGTTTTAAAACTTTATTTTTTTAAGTTAATTTTATTTTTTGTGTGGTTGTAGGGCTTGAACTCCGGGGCCTGGGTGCTGTCCCTCAACTCTTTAGCTCAAGGCTAGCACTTTACCACTTGGGATACAGAGCCACTTCTGGCTCTTTTTCTGTTTATGTGGTACTGAGGAATCGAACCTAGGACCTCATGCATGCAAGGCAAGCACTCTACCACTGAGCCACCTTCCCAGCCCTAAAACTTTATTTTTTGTATTGCTCAAAACACTTTCCCCAAATTTTCTGCCTTTGAATTCTCTGTACTTATGCTCAAATAGCCATTTAGCAAAACCATATCAACAGCACAATTTAAGTAACAAAATTCAGTCATTTCATAAAATGGAACCTAAAAAAAAATTCTCAGGCTTCATTAACAGTTCTTACTTGAAAATTTCCGGTGTCAACTCGGTACTGGTACATGGGGTCATGTAATTCATTAGCTCTTTAAAAAGATGTTTAAAACACAAATTAATTACAAGCTTTACATTTTACACTTTTCTCACCCCACATTTTAATAGTACTTGCTACCAACAATGAAAGATTTTAAAAAATCAAGTAAATCAGGCCAGAGAGACAAAGGATGCATGTTCTCCTTTATATGTGGAGGTACACTTAGCTTATAAATGCATCTGTAAATACATTAGGTGGTATGCGAAAGTATACAAATGTATTAACTGAAATATAGCAGCTTCAAGAGAGAATTCAAACAATGTAATTTCTTAGACAAAATCAAAGATTAACAAAACACCAGGAAGTGGGTACTCAAAAGGGGCAGGGTGGGGTCAAGGGGAATGGGGTTGGCGAATGAAATGGAGAAGAGGGAGAGAACACAGTCACGAGTCCCAAAAATCCCACATATATCCTACAAAATTCCAAAGAGGAAAGGAAGGGGTAGGGAAGGGAGGGATGGGTAAGAATGTTGATAGGGGTGACATTAAGATAATATTACAATAAAAATAAAAATATTGAATATTAAAAGAAAAAGTCCTAAAAAAGGGCATTTATAAATTTCACATATCACAGTGAAAAACACCCAATACTAATCTTCCCTATTCTTTATCAGTATTGTAGAACTTCAGTGCTTTTTTTTTCTTAGAAAAATCCCAATCACCATTCTTTTAAGAGTTGTTTTATTTTGATTAGTTTATATTGTATATACTGCGGGGGGGGGGAGGAGAGAGGGAAGAAGGGGAGATTTCATTGTCATATCTCCACATCCTTATACTGTAGTAAGAGTTGTTTTGTTTTTATTGGCTTATATTATACATACTGCGGGGAGAGGGGGAGCAGGAAGGGGGATTTCATTGTCACATCTCCAAATCCCTATACTATAGTTAGAGATGTACTGCTGGCACACCTGGGCACAGCTGAGCAGCCAGGAAGGCAGGGATGGGAGGTGAGGTAGAAGAGGGCCAGGTCCTATCAGCACGGGGCCACTGACAGATGAGGTATCCAGCCAGAAAGCACTGTACAGGAGTACCCCTAGGACAGGTCGTCTGGAGGCTGTGACACAGGCTCTGTGGCAGTGCCCATTCTGATAAGAATAAACCTTGTTGCTCATGCTGAGGATCAGGAGCCCAGGGGAACCAGATCTGCTGAACAGTCCTGGGCGTCAGCTGGACATCATCTCTCTACAGGAGAAATGAAAGTCTACTGTGGTGTTTTTCATGTGCCATCTTAAGACTAGGAGAGAACTGTGCTCTCTCCAAGCCACTCCAGCAAAACTGACTTCCTCTGTTCCAGTCCCCTGACTTCCTCTGTTCCAGTCCCCTGACTTCCTGTAACACAGATGCTTCCTTTCCTCCTGGATGAGGTCACATACAGAGTGAGGTCTGGTCTGTCCACCCGTCATGCTTTGTAGGACTGTTTTACATGGAAAAGAAGTACTCACGTTTGCCATATTCCCAGTGTCACAGAAGCCAGCCACAGTAGTCCAACAATGAGGAATTTTGGCAAGTAGAAAGTTAAACACTTCCTTTCTCCCTAAAAAGAAAAAAAAAAAAGAAATACAGAAAACAAGTTCTTACAAAGCACTCACTCTAGCAGAGTCTATCAGATCAGAGATTCCAAACCACTGTTATCAAAGGTGCACTCTACTGGTCCAGTGTGAGGCCGAGGAAGGCTTGAATGATACGCTCACTTAGACTGCCGTCAGGATTCAGAGTCCAGGGAGGACCTTCTACAGCTTACCTGGACTCGTATTCCATGGTATGCGCACAGCCAGAAGAGCAGCAAGGCACACAGAAACAGAGACTGGAAGAAGTCATCCAGCATGCCTGGGAACCAGCTGTTCACCAGAAAGGAGAGGGGGAAGAATGGGTCTGGAAGGCAAAGGACAGACATGATGAGAGCAGGGCTGCCAGCACCCAGCACAGAGCCCTACACTCCCACGCGCTCCGAGCTCTCCAGGGAGAGGTAGCGAACCAAAGGCTGTTTTGTTTTCCAAATGCCCAAAAGCCACTGCACACACACTGCCCTGAGTCATCTCCTCACGCAAGAGGCGGCCTGGAAACTCTAAACATGGAGTTCAGGCAGCAAATGCCTTCTGGAGCAGAGACAGCCATGCCAGCATCTTCAGCCAAGTCCCAGGACTGCTGCGTCTGCAGCTCATCCAAGTTTTAACTACGGAAGCACTGCTGTTTGTTAAAGACCCAGGCATCTGCCATAACCTGTGTAACATGATGCCCGCGGAGCAGGAACCTGCCACCACCCGCTTGTCCCGGGCTCCCATGGGCTCTTCCGGGCATCAGGCCAGACCACCTCTGGGATGCTGGCCAGTTTTAAAGTAGAGAGGGGAAAGTTTCAGAGAAAAGTGGCACCTACCGTTGTATAGCAGCAGCAGTGGCAGGAGGACAGACATCCACTTCTGCTCAATGCCCCAGTCTCTCATGGAAAATTTGCGCAGGGAATGTGCAAACAGGCACTGCAAAGCAAACAGACCCAGACCCCTCACCTCCTGGACCCCAGCAGGGTCACTGGGTTCCATTAGTGGCCGGGCTAGCTCTGCTGGGTTAAGTCCTGGCTGAACTAACTACTGGGGTCCTGGAGGTGGTCAGGACAACCATGATGAGATGAGATGGGTGAGCGCTGCCTAGGGCCAGACGTAAGGTGGGGCCCAGCTGGCCATAAACCCTCTACAAGCAGAATGACACCCATCCCTCTCACCTCCCCCTGGGCAGGCTGCTGTCAGGCCTGAGGGCAGATGGCACTCCCAGAACTTCTCAGGGTACAGGAACATCTGTGGACGCAGGAGGCCACGTGCTCCAGTGGACAGCTCTTACAGAGAGGGGGTACCGGCTTCCAAGGACAGTGCTGGTGCCAAAAGTCAGAGGCTGAGTTTATTCTCAAATTCTTCCCTGGAGAAGATGTGTGGGTCCTGGAAGAACTTCCTGAAGCTGTTTTCAAACTCTATACATGTACCATGTTTAGGCCTGAAATTTGGGGGACAGGTTGTTTTTCTATAAGCCAATACAAACCAATGGTTTTCTAGGCAGTCTGGCTCCCCTGCTTCTTGTCCACTTCCCTAGTCTAAGTTCTGTGCAAGGGTCAGGCCCAGTTCCTTCTGTTAGGAATGCCTCAGGACCACAAGTACCAGACCTTGGGCCCCAGAAGAGTGCAGAAAAACCCCAGGCAGAAGACAGTCCTCAAGAAACAATGTGGACTTCAACAGACCAGCCATGAATACCGGCAGCCCCATAACCGGTACGATTCCCAGAGGAACCCTGGGAGTCTCTGAGACCCCAGGCTCAGCATGGGACACCCAGCCCAGCTCCTGACCAATTCCAGGGCCGTGTCTTGCTTCCTGCCACATACCGCTCACATGCTCACTACGTGCCATGCTCTCCTCCACTGGGGAGTCTCCCAAGTAGCCAGGGTGCCTAGATGGCAGTACAGGAGCCATCACCACAAAGAGGAGACACATCTAAATGTCACGCCTTCTCCAGCAGCCTCAGGAGAGCCTCTGGAGAGGGCACAATCCCCCTTAGATGGTCCTCAGCCACTGAACACACCACACTCCCTTGGCGTCCAATTTCTAAATCTCCTTCTTCACAGATGGGCTTTCCTGGCACCCTCTGTTTGTAGGGGCATTCCCCAAACCAATGTGCTTGTGGATGCAATCTTCAGGTCCCAAACAAACCAAAAGCTTGCATTTCCAAAACCATTTCTCTACAGCCTATTTCTGAAGGGCCCAAACTCTGAGATTCCTAAACATAAAGACCCAAGAGAGTGCCGTTCCAGAGCAGGTCCCTCACACAGGGCAGAATCACTTTCACACAGGTGAAATGGAGGTTTTATCGCACCATGATGACATTGTATTTAATAGTTAGTGACCTGCTACACTACTCCTTACTGAAGGACTGTGCACCACTTTTTATACCACAGCATCTTGGCATATACAGACTGTTTAGGGAAAAGGGATAGACCACTGGACGGCATGTCTCCATGTCTTAGTGTCTAGACAGTCGGGGACACTCATAACTGCACACACTAGCTCTGCCCTGACTTGGCCTTGGGTGCGGGGTGCCAGGCCCTTGGTACTCACGGTGACGATGAAGGTGAGCACCACAAACACAAAGCGGAACCAGATCTCCAGCTTAGAAAAGGCAGGGTCATAGGTCTTCCACTGAAACGATAGGTGGAGGATGATGAGCAATGTGCAGATGAAAGGAAGTCACCAGATGACTGGTAATGGATCTGTCTAGATGTGAGGCTAGAGGAGCTTGAAGGCTTTCCCTTGTACGAGCCCACAGGTCGCCAAATTCTACCACAGTACTTTCATGTAAGCTGGGCACTAGTGGCTCATGCCTGTAATTCTGGCTGTTCAAGAGGCTGAGATCTGAACAATCAAAGTTTGAAGCCAACCCGAGTAGAAGAGTCCTCTAGACTCCACCTCCCAAATAATGAGCAAAACATAGGGCTAGAAGTATGAGTCAAGTGGTAGAGTACCAGCCTCGAAAGTGACTACAGTGTGTGTGAGGACCTGCGGTTGAGTTCTGACACTGTCAAAATAAATAAACAAACAAACAAAACAACAGAGATGTACTGCCAATAACTGAAAAGAGTCAGGTAAATTATTCTATAATCATAGCAAGGGCACTTGGATTTTAAGTCTCTTCATTAGTGAAAAGCCGACTTTAGTACTGGGGTTTGAACTTAGGGCCTCAATGTAGGCTAGGCAAGCAATGAACTACATCTTCAGCCCTTTTGTTTTTTTTTTGTTTTTTGATGTTTACAGACCATTGTTTGAATTAATTCTGTATAATCCAACTCCAGGCTACTCTCTCCCAAAGTTGACACCATAGCTAAAGTTTCTAAAAATTCACATGTGTGTACATATATGTGTGCATATACACCAATAATAGCGGTATGTTATGTGCCAATAGCAGCGACAGTTCTTCCAGCTACTGAAGCCATCTGTGCAAAGTTATAAAGCAGGTAACAGACATTTTACACTTACTGAATGTTGTTTTGGGATGTGGCCTTGCTAAGTTTGGCCTTGAACTTGTGATCCACCTGCCTTGTAGCCTCCTAAGTAGCTGGAATCACCGATGCATACAACCATGCCCAGCAAAGTAAATGTATTTTATAAAATGCAAAAGTATAAGTTACATTTTCTTTAAAAACATATAGAGCTGGTCAAATCTCAGGAGGCTGAGATCTGAAGATCACAGTTAAAAGTCAGCCTGGGCAGGAAAATCCATGACATGCTTATCTCCAATAAACCACCAGGAAAAAGTGGCACTATAGCTCAAGTGATAGCCTTGAGCTGAAGAGGTGAGGGACAGCGCCTAAGCCCTGAGTTCAAGTCCCACGACCGACCCCCCCCCCAAAAAAAAAGTGGTAAGAAGAGCAATGCTCAAGTGGCAGAGCAAAAAAGCTAAGGGACCATACACAGCGCAAGCCCCAGTACTGGCATAAAAAATATAGAGTGGGCAAGAGGACTAGTAGAGGTGTGGATGAGGACGGAGATGCCAATGAGTTTGCCGCTGTGCATGCGGAGCAGCAGGAGCAATGGATTAAGATACCACTAGACTATGAAGACACACAGCTGGAAACCACCAAGAACAGAGGCAAGGGCAACAAAGCCAGGCAGAGCCTCAGGACGCAGGGGAACACCCCAAGCGGCCTCACATATGTGCTTGGAGTCCCTGAATTTGAGGAGGGGAGAAGAGGACAGAAAAAGTATTCTAAGAAATGGCCAAATTCTTTCCAAAATTTAATGAAAAACCCAGGAACCTCAATGAACTCCAAGCACAAAGAACATGGAGAAGTACACAAATCAAATCTGTCAAAAAAGTAACCAAGGAAAATATTAGGTGTGAAGAGAGAACAATGGTTCAGAGACCAAAGACAGGAACAAAGGTAAGGATGACAGGTTTTTTTGTTTTCTCTGTCAGAAAGATGCAAGCCAAAAGGCAGTGGTCAACATTTAAGTACTATGAGTTTAAACCATGATGTAATTCTTGGGAGACTGAAAAGCTTGACAGATTGAAAGCCTGACTCTGCTGATTATGGACAGGATGGCTCACAGCACCACTGGTAGGGATGTAGGATATGGTGTAAACTGCCAGCTTCTTCACCATACACCCAACCACCCTGCAACTCATGCTGACCCAAGGCTAGTAAGAATGATGCCCATACCAACACCTAGTCACAAATGTCCACAGGGCTTCTATGTAAAAACCCCAAACTGGAAACAACCAAATACCCATCACAGACAAATGAAAATCAACAGTACTATATCCACATGATGGAATATTAGTCAGGAACAAAAAAGGAATGGACTAAGGATATACTCAACCTTATCAATCAGCCTCAAAAGAATTTCACTGAAAGAATCTCAACATATTTAATAAGTATGTATTATTGTGTTACTCCATTTTAGTTTAAGTTCTAAAAAATGCAAACGAATCTGCAATGAACTAGTATAGTGGTGGCCTGGGGACAAGAAGCAACAGAGGAAGTGGAGAAAAGATGTCCGGGGCTGACAGGAGTGCTCAGCATGTTGATTTTGAGACCAGTTCCCCAGCTCTGATGTCATATGAAATGGGTCACATCTAATATTTTAAATATGTGTACTTCCCCCTGTGATCAGAACACTTCAATAAAGTTGCCAGACAAAGTTGCTTACAAAGGGGTTAGCAGGAAGTGAATTGTGAAGTCAGAACCTCAGCTCCATACCCCAGCCCTACAATCCCAAAATCTCACTAAGTCTCAGTTTCTCTCAACAAAGTGGAGATGCTGTTACCAACTTCACAGAACTACAATGACATCTGTATGGCACAGAATAAATAAACGAGTAAGTCTAAAATGTTAACTATCATGATTGCCACTAGGCTTATATGTCATGACAGGACCATGTCCTTCACAGATGATCATGGTGCCATGGGGAAGAGAGAGGGGAAAGTGGGGGGCCAGGAGTGTCTACCTCAATGACTTGGCTAATGAGAAGAACAGGGAACACAGGAGACAAATGATGTAGTGTGACTGTAAGCCCAGGAGGGGGCAGTGCTGAGGTAAGCACAATACTCAGCAAACACCATGTGCATGTCTTAGTAGACTAGCCTTAATCTAAGGCACAATCTGGAAGAGAAGGAGGGAAACAGGAACATGGACTGCTTTAGTCTCACCGCTAGTCCAAGATCATGGCTGAGAAAAAGAGAGGAGACGAGGCATTTGGAGCTGGCTGGTGTCACTCAGGTTCATCCCCGAGTGCACTTCATTAGGGGAGAATGCCCAGAATGCCGGTGTGCAGAGAAGGTGTTGCAGACACTCAGGAGAAATGGCAGGCAGAAATCAGGTGCTGTTTGTTGTGTCAGAAGCAGTGCTGTGCAAGGTAGCGCTGCTTTAACCCCAGGAGGGAGCGAGCATCCCCCCCCTTCCCCGCCCCCCACTCCTCTCCGCTGAGGCAGCACCCATCCTTCCTCACAGCCCCCTGCCAATCACAGCTCAAAAATATCACATGGAAAATTCCAGCAACAAACAACTCACAAGTTTTAGTTCATGCACTATTCTCACATTGTCTACTCTTTCCTGCCCAGGGCATGAACCATCCCTTTACCCGTGAGTCCACACTATTGTATGTGTGTGTTTACATACATGTATCACTTATCATATATATAAAACATATCACATATATTATGTTGTGGATACGCTATATACTATATGGTATGATATATAATATACACATATGAAACAATCCAAACACCTGACACTGGTGAGTGGATAAACCAAATGTGACCTGTCCATCCAATGAACTCAACAAAATAAACAGATAAAGAGTGGTCTGCTAACCATCAACAAGGTAGAAGAACCTTGCAAACATCATGCTAAGTGAAAACAGTCAGTCACAAAAGACCACATTATATAATTCCATTTCCATGAAATGTCCTGAACCGCCAAGTCCAGAGATGCAGAGAGTAGATGAGGGGCAGGGGCAGGGACTGTGAGGAGGAAAGTGGGAAGTGACAGCTGAAGGTTTCTTCTGAGAGATGACTGCTCTGAATTAAGGCCAAGGTGCTGGTTACACAATGGTGAGCATACTAGAAGTCACTGAACTGCACAGGTTAGCAGGCAGGTTTCATGACACATGATTATCAATGAAGTGCTTTTTTTGGGGTCGGTCGTGGAGCTTGAACTCTGGGCACTGTCCCTCAATTCTTCAGCTCAAGGCTAGTGCTCTACCACTTGAGACATAGCACCACTTCTGGTTTTCTGGTGGTTAATGGAAGATAAGTCTCATGGACTTTCCTGCCCTGTCTGGCTTTGAACCAGGATCCTCAGATCTCAGCCTCCTGAGTAGCTAGGATTACTGGTGCCCAGCCAGTGAAGTGTTTTTAAATATCTATTATTAATTTCATTACTCTGACATAAAAAAACTGAGGCTCAACAGTCAAACCAATATAAACTGATGGAGCCAGGCTCTGTCCAACCCAAGTCACCCCACCAGTGGTACCGGCTTAGAAGGAGTGGAAGGATAGTGAACAGACTTCAAGTGGACAAGGGATTACTCTATTTTAAATGTCAGGGCACCTAAGATTTCTCCCATTTCTATGCTGTCTTATATACTTATCTTAGTTCCACATACTGAGTAAACTGTGGTTTTACTGTGATAAATAACCTTGCTAAAGGCCATGGTATGTTTCTATCACTCAACAAAGGAACCATGGGACCAGGGAGGGGCACAGGACAGTACTCACTGTAAAGTTCATCTCCTTGATGGGAAGCTTCAGGCGCTCGAACCCCACGGACACCGTATATTGTGTGTAATTCAAGTAGCCCAGGTGAGCCACAATAATTTCTGTGCATTTCTGCAAACACAAGGAAGAGCCATGTCTTTCTTCAAAGCATGACAGAAGACCCTCCCACACATAAGAGACACATTTGGACAACAGCAGCAGAATTTGTCATCTCCAGGGAGCTTGCCAAAAGTCCATAAAAGGTTCCTAGAAAGTACCAAATGGGTATTTTTGGAACTATAATATATGACTTAAAGTAATTAAAATTGTCCTGCTTTGGATGAGTGAAAATGATATAGTACCTACATAAAAAAAAGACAGCCAGGCAACAAGACAGACCTGCCATTTCTACAAACATAGTAACTGCAAGTTACAGCAGGAGAATGGATGGTGTGGCCTGACTTGTCCTCCTGGGTCCATACTTGCAACTGTCATAACTATACTCACAGCGGGACCACACTTTATCAGATAAGTGTTCAACCACCATTCCCTCTGCAGAGCGGCTACCCCACCCGGCATCAAAACTAAGTGGCCTCAAGGTATCCCAGGCTGTGAATGCTGAAAGGTCTGCTAGTTGTCTCGTTCTGTTCTGCAGAATCAGGAAGCTTATTGTTTCCCATCTCCTCTATGTGGCTGTCCTTTCAGAAGTGGTGAGAATAAGGCCCAGTCTGGGGTGTGGCTCTACAAGGGCCAGCCCCCAGGCAGCAGGTCAAAGATCTGGTCCAGCCCTGCCTCTCAGGCCAACATGCCCTGAATGTCACTCCATCATCCAAGCAGACACATGCTTCCTGTGGCACAACAGTCCAGCCACAGCCTAGAATCTCTGTGGCTTTAGAAGTGGCACCTATTCTTGCTGTGGCTCTGAACAGAACAATCAGTCCTCTAATAGATCAGAAGATCCTCAAGACAGGGAAGAAAATAGACTTGGCTTTTACATAAGAAGCCTCAAAAACATGATTGGAGGAGGGATGAGGGCCTGCTTTCCCCTGGCACTGTTCATCTAAGGGACAGGAGGGAAAGCAGGGGAATGGTGCAGGGTCTAAAGAGGTATGAAGGCCCCAGGTCTCAGACTTGAAGGTCAACTGGCCACCGGGTCTGCACCAGGCCCTCTGCACTAGGTGGGGCAGGACTGGCTGGAGCTCTCTGGCTATCACTCACTCCTTTCCCACCTCCAACATCAGCACAAGCCACCTGCTATAGTTTATTCCATCTGGCTGTGCTTCCTTTCCACCAGGGCAGCTCCACTCATCTGAGTTGGGCCCTGTCCTCTCGGCCTATGCGTGTCCACGTTCCCATCATGACTACGTCCCCTACCTGTCTGTCAGCAGCTGCAATCACCTGCAGCTAAGGCCTCAAGGGGCCAGGAGCAGAGGTTCAACATCAGTACACACACTGCCAGCCAGAGAAGTACTTCTCCCACAGCGAGAATCTGTCTCGGTGCCCCAGGGGAAGTTCTAATGAACCAATGTGACAGCTCAGGGTGTACACACTATTTATTACACTTAAAAACACCACAGCAAAACCACCTAAGGATTTGTGGGTCCCAAGCCTGTGCTGTAACTCTGCCTCAATACAGTGTATCTAGGAAAAAAGACCACAGCACCCTCACCTATAAGGGCAGACAACCCTGCTACTCAAGGCTGAGGTGTTTTCCATTACATCGACTAACAGTAATAATAATAATACCATGAAGGTGGTAAACCTATCTTTATAGAAAACCGTAAAAGGTGTGGCTCAAGTAGCAGAGTACCTGTCTCACAAGTATAAGGCCTTACATTCAAACCCCAGTACTGCTCCTGCAAAAATTAATGCCAAGTTTTCTTATGTCAGGCCAATGCTCCTGACAGGGCTAGGGAGAAAGTTGAGTGGAGTGGTGACATGGCATGAACTGAGGCAAAAGCCCAACCAAGAGCAGGAAGGAAGCACAGAGATGCTCTGAGGACCCTCTCACAGGGCAGCTCCGCCAGCTCCATGAGAGCCTGGCTCTCGTGAAGCTGAGTTTTTAGCTGAGGTCACCGTCTTCCTGAGGACTTCTATTTTCCTTTTGGTAGCATTTGAACTCTGGGACTTACTTGCTACAGAGATGACTGGCAACTTGAGCCACGCCCTCTGCCTTTTCTTTCTTTTTTTTTTGCTTTAGTTATTTTTTGGATAGGGTCTCTTGCTTTTCCCTATAGTCAGCCTCAGGCCTTGATTCACCTACCTGGCACCTCCCACGAAGCTTGGATTACAGGCATGATCTCCGTTTTTTGGCATTTTTTTTTCACCCGAGTTAGCTTTGAACTATAATCCTTCCAATCCCTGTCTCCTGAATGGTTCTGATAACAGGTGTGAACCACCACATGCAGCCTAAACTGAGTTTTAAAAATGAAAGTCTGTATAACGGGAGCACCACCACCCCACCAGGGCGAACCAGGACAACTAGTCACAGAAGCTATGGGAGAACTGTCATGGAGCAGCTGTGCGTCCTGCACCACCTCTGCTGCAGCAGCAGCAGCAGCCGCCGCCACAGGGTGTGAACTCAAGTGTGCATGGAGGTGAACGTGGCTGCCTCTTGCCTAGGGAATGGGAGAAGGCCTGCTGCTGGACTGTGGACCTTTCTGTCACATGTCTTCCCTCTGCCACTTGGCAGAAGTGACTAAGCAGCCTTCACACGGGACGGAGGGCGTACGTGGATGTCTCACCCCCTCCCGGGAAAGTTAGGGAGGTGGAATCTCCCTTTGCAGACGAGGACAACCCATTCCAGAAACTTCAACTCATGTGAGTGACAGGAGGAAGACAGGATGGGGGCCAGTTACTTCTGGAGCCTTCTCTGATGCCAGCCTGTTAGTGAAGCCACTGCTGTCCCAGCTCTGCTGGAGAGAGCTGCACTGTGCACACAGCTCACCTGTCCAATGGCTAGGACTCTAAGGTCAGTCAACAGTGAGTGACTGGAGAAGGTACCAGCCTGTGCACGGTCTTCCACCATGAGAAACAGGCTGTTCTGCTCACTGTAGCCGCAAGGCAGATGCATCATAGGCCAGGAGCTTCAGCACAAGGGCATACTTAGTATCTGTGCCATCCTGGGCAAGGGCTCCATATCACATGGGTTATTTCTAATATTAGGTCATCCTGTGGCTCCTGTGAGGAATCACTGAGCACGACATGGTGTAGATGTGACACTGGGCCCGGGAAAGGCAATGCACCATGCAGCTCTGCCATCCCAGGTCTAATCTCCCATCAAATGCACTGCTGTTCTTGATGCTTCCCAAGTGCCCTGTGTTACAGTCCTCAAGTGGCTCCTTCTGTCACGGGGGAAAGTTCCCAGTCTCTAGACTCTGGGTGTGAATTTAAGCTCCCTGGCCACCAGCCACACACTGCAGCCTGAAGTCCATACCCAAAAATTAGGCCCCTGGCCTGAGAGGTCTGGACATTTGGGCTCCATCTCAGAAGGGTCAGGGCATTGGTCACCCAACAGAAACAACCCAGAGCCTCATGACAGGACCTGAACATGAGCAGTGGCAACCCTTCTCTGGGAGGCAGCACCCACCACGTCTGCCAACAGATACTTCAAGCTATAGGCTGCCTGTATGCCCAGGTGTTGAGGGGCAAGTGTGCACTTGCATAGTCAGGGTCTGTGTCTGTGCATGTACAGGAGCTGACAAAAACTTCTAAAGTTAGGAGAATGTCTTTAGGATCACTCCATTTTTCTTTCACTTTATTTATTTATTTTTGGTGCTGTCCTAAGGCCTGAACTCAGGGCCTGGATGCTATCCTTGAACTTCTGTGCTCAGAGTTAATGCTACCATTTGAGCCATGGCTCCACTTCTAGCGTTTTGGAGAAAATTGGAAATAAGAGTCTCACAGACTTTCCTGCTCAGGCTGGCTTCAAACCACCATCTCAGATCCCTGTCTCCTGAGTAGCTAGGATTATAGTGTAAGCCCAACTATTTTTCTTACAGAACAATTTTTTGAAGGCTCTACCTTTTCTGAAGGAATCTGCTTCCTATGATGGAGAAATAGAGTGCATAGCACACTGTGACATTATTTGTAACTGGTCAAAACACTCACCCCTCCTGCACCGCAGGTGAGGGTCCTTGTCCGATTGTGAACCTTGTTATGAACGTATGTTGTGGTTCCATCTTGAGCCACACCATTGACTTTCACGGTCATGGGAAAACTGGTCTGAATAGAAGTTTCTATGAAAGAAAAATTCAGGATCAGAGACCACCCCAGGCACCTCCCATGGTCAAAGATCCTGTGGCTAAACCTGGCCTCGGGGCCAGGAACATATGGGCCATGCACCTCCTGAGCTGTCTTACCTCCCCATGTTGGAAAAGCCCACCATTAGTGCCTATGCCCCACATTACTGATGGACCTATGTTAAAACCTACACTTCAGTGCTATTTAATTTTTATTAAATTTTATATCAAACAAATAATTTCTATTTTTCTGATTACAATTTATTTTTCTAATTATATATATATTTTTTTGCCGGTCGTGGGGCTTGAACTCTGGGTCTGGGCACTGTCCCTTAGCTCTTCAGCTCAAGGCTAGTGCTCTACCACTTGAGCCACAGCGCCACTTCCAGCTTTTTCTGTTTATGTGGTGCTGAGGAATCGAACCCAGGACCTCATGCTTGCAAGGCATGCACTCTACCGCTGAGCTACCTTCCCAGCCCCTTTCTAATTATATTCTAATTGTAAATGAAGAGTTCAAAAATATAAAGATGGCCCTAAACACAAACCTACAGGTTAACTGTAATTAACATTTTTGTGTCTATTGTCCCATGACACTTTCCAAATATACAAATATATAATGACAAAATATTTATTTTTGGCAGTACTGGAATTTGAACTCAGGGCCTTGCTACCGCCTAGCAAGCACTCTACCACTTGAACCATAGCCCACTGACACTGTGTGTGTGTGTGTGTGTGTGTGTGTGTGTGTGTGTGTGTGTCTGTGTTGTGACTAGAATTTGGAACTCAGGTACCCTGAACACTTTTTTCTTTTTTTTCTTTTCAGCTGATTCTGGGCCTTGAACTCTGAGCCCAGAAATTGTCCCTCAGCTTCTTTCGCTCAAGGCTAGCACTCTACCACTTGAGCAACAGCACCACTTCCAGCTTTTTCTGTAGATTAGTTGGAGATAAGAGTCTCATGGACTTTCCTGCCTGAGCTGGCTTCAAATAGTAATCCTCAGATCTCACACTCCTGAGTAGCTCGGCAGCCTTGAACTCTTCAAGCTTTTTCTGCTCAAGGCTAGTGTTCTACCACTACTTCCAGTTTCTTTGGTGATTAACTAGAAATAAAGAATCTCATAGACGGGGCTGGGAAGGTAGCTCAGTGGTAGAGTGCTTGCCTTGCAGAGGCCCTGGGTTCAATTCCTCAGCACCACATAAGCAAAAAGAAAAAAGCCGGAAGTGGCACTGTGGCTCAAGTGGTAGAGCGCTAGCTTTGAGCTGAAGAGCTGAGGGACAGTGCCCAGGCCCAGAGTTCAGGCCCCACAACCGGACCCAAAAACAAAACAAAACAAAAAAGAATCTCATAGACTTTTCTGCTCAGACTGGCTTCAAACTGAGATCCTCAGATGTCTTCCTCCTGGGTAGCCAGGATTACAGAGCCTCTGGTACTCAGCAACTCAGTGTGGCTTTTTAAATTTATTTTTTGCCTAGACTAGCCTTGGACCTCTACCTGCTGAGTAGCTGAAATTACATGAAAAATGGTGCCATTTTCCATGCTCAGAAGTTAATCATGATTCATTAGACATTAGGGCAGGGTTTCTTAGCCCTCAACCATTAATGAATGATCTGGGTTAGGGAAGTGCTGTTGAGGCTATCCTATGTCTTGTAAGATGTTATGTGAAACCCCTGGCTGCTACTTGTAGATGCCAGTTATACTCCCTCACCCTAGTGACAAGCAGGTGTCCCCGAGGAGTAGAGCACCACTTCAGAGTATCAGCACACAACCCTCTGCAGCTTCTTAGCTCAGCTGGCCCTTCCTGCAAGAGGTGCTCCCTCACATTGTCAACTAAAGCGATGGGCTTCCTGCTACACTTAGCTTTTCAAGTCCTTGCTTCCTCTTAAGTATGACAGCTTATACCAGAAAAATCATCCCCAATTATCAGGCTGCTTACCTTTTGATTGTTCCAACTCAACCACACACGTCAGCCACAGCTGTTGATTATATGTAGACAGAGGCTTTGAACGTATTTGAATGGGCTCTAGCTGAAAAAGGAAAAAAAAATTCTATAATCCATGTTACCTTTTTACTGAGTCTACCAAATAGCTCATAACTCATCTTTTACCTTTCCCTTTTAGTAGTTCAGTGTGAATGCACAGCCTCTCTCCCTTTTGTTCTGCTGGCTTTCTCAGCTGGCGTACTGCCATTTGAGCCATGACACCTACTCAGAAAGGGAGCCTAGCAGACTTTTCTGTTCTTGCTGGCCTCAAACCACAATCCTCTGGATCCTAGCCTCTTGAGAAACTAGGATTACAAGTATAAGCCACATGTGTCTAGCTCCAAAAAGCTCATCTTGACATAAAAAATTTACATTTAGCAAAAGAGACCTCAGCGTTGGCTCTGAAACAGAAGCACGTGAACTATTCTTTCCAGAAGATAGGGCAAACTTCCAGCTGCAATTCATTTCTTTTTGTCTTTCTTTTTTTTTTTTTTGGTCGGTCATGGTGCTTAACTCTGGGCCTGGGTACTGTCCCTCAGCCCTTCAGCTCAAGGCTAGCACTCTACCACTTGAGCCACAGCACCACTTCTGGCTTTTTCTGCTTATGTGGTGCTGAGGAATTGAACCCATGGCCTCATTCATGCAAGGCAAGCGCTCTACCACTGAGCCACCTTCCCAGCCCTGCAATTCATTTCTATCTATCCAAACTCTCAGCAGGCCATTGTCACCACTTGGGATGATATACCTACTTAAGTGCCAAGAAAAAAGTTATCTTCAAGAAGGAAAGGGAAAAAGCAGAACAATGATGAGATGTGATGAGAATGATGATGAGACACTTCCGTGTGTCCCAATACTTCGTTAGCCTCAGTAGGCCAGATCCCTTTGACATCTTTTATTTAGGGCTTTATTAGTCTTAAAGTCCCTTGAGAGAAAAAGGACTATGCTACCAATGATTCTTATGCCTTGTCTTCCAAAAGATGTGCTATTGGTGTCTCCTAGCAATGGGACGGTGAGGGTTGGTTACGGCAATCACCTGCAGTTGCAAAGAAAAGCTCTACCTTTGATTCTGCATCTGAATGCTGGGTGAGGGACCACACGCATCCCAAAAAGCCACAGGAGGAATGAAATCTTCCAGAGAATAGGATACAGTCTCTTTGAAGGGAGGATGGTGTCTTGGCTGCAAGTCAGTTCAATTGTCCAAAAGAGATTTATACTGACAGACAGAAATGAAAAACCAACTACTGTTACTGTGGAGAAAAGCCACGTTGCAATCTCCAATTCAGACCACCAGCCCAAATGCTAAAGATAAAAGAAAGCTAAGAAAATGTGAAGACTAGCCAGAGGAGAGCGTCTTTCAAACTAGAACAGCAAAGGCTGGGAGCTGGCCTAGTGGGACAGGCCTGCCCTGCCTGAGGGCACGTGCTGGGCACCACCAAAAACAGTAAGAAAGAGCTGCATGATTTAGGACAATTTTCTTCTTTTGTTCTTTTGGGGTAGGGGGGAGCAGAGAGAAGGGGCCTGAGGTAGGCAGGCTGTACCCTATGATGCTGAGCTGCTGTCATGCAGGATGGCTGCACCCTGCGCATGGATAAGGACTGTGTTTGACCAAAAATCTGCAACAGGAAGGACTTCTGTTTCCTCTAAAGATGGTAGAGAACCAGGCACTTAAAAGAGAAGGAAGAGATGTTCGTTTAAACAGAGCTCATGGGAGGAATGCCAACAATCAATAAAAAAGACTGTTGCTATTAGAAGATGACACCGAGACCAAGTCTGCACTTGGATAAATATGGGAAGAAAGGGTTAGATACCTAAATAATCATTGTTAGAACTCTAGTCTACTAGGACTTCTGCCTGGAAGGAGCCAGGATGAGTTCATTGTCCTTTGGAGTTGGACTGGGGTTTCCCTAGGAAGTGACACCGGCACACTCCTGAGTACAAAAGTACTCAGGACCTTAGAAAAGGTAATTTCATCAGACAAGAACAGCTGCCTGCTGAGAGCCTCTGCAGAGCAAGCACAGTCTGCTGCTCAGCCCCTCCAAGCAGGACCACCTCTGCGGCTCCACAGTTCCTTCTGATAATGCCACTTACACCCAAGCCTTACCTTTTTGCTATTGTTTTGTGAAAAATTAGCTGCAGAAGTCTGGATCACTTTGGGTCCTAAAGTCCAGCAAAGGAGAGAAGGGGAAAGTGGGTTACAACTCTAGTCACAACTTATTTTTTCCAAATGCCAATAAAAACTTATGCATTATACAAAGATTATCTTATTTATTACCTGGTCTTTCTTTAGAGAGTGTATGTATATAGGAAAAACACACAAACTCTTACTGTGCATCGCAAGGTAGAATCTTACACATACACACTGAGGCATGCATATGCACACATGTGCGCACACACATGCTCTCTCTCACACACACATGCAGAACTGGGATTCTCACGGAAAACCTCTCATACTTTCAGTGAGAGCTCTCTATAGTGCATGGTCCTGAGGGAACACTTCTATATGGATATTCCTACATATTTTGTAAAGTGTAAGGTGAGACATGGTGGTGCAGGCCTGGACTTGGGAGGCTGAAGCAGAAGAATTCCAAGTTCAAGCTCCATTTACTGTACCAAGACTATCACGTGGCCCAGTTTCCCCTCTAATAGCAGAGACTAGATGGAAATGTTTGCATGAGTGGACACGATGTAATCCCTGTACTTGGGAGATGGAGACAAGAGGATCACAAACTCAAGGCCAGCCTGAGCATGACAGTAAGCTCTAGACTAACCTGAACTACACAGAAGGATCAAGTCTTTAAAAACAAGCCGGGCGCTGGTGGCTCACATAAGTAAACCTAGCTCAGAAGGTTGAGAACTGAGGATCAAGTGCAAAGCCAGCCCAGGCAGGAAAGTCCGTGAGATTCTTATCTACAATTAACCACTAAAAACTGGAAGTGGCTCTGTGGCTCAAAAGTGGTAGAACGCTAGTCTTATGTTGAAAAAGCTCATGGACCGTGCCCAGGTCCTAAGTTCAAGCCCTACAACTGACCCCTCCCCCCCAAAAAAAGTATTAAACAACAACAAAAATGGGGGGTGATGATAAAAAGGGTGACAGATGCATCGTGTTAATAAACTGATTTACTATACAACTCCTTTGGACAACTACTTAAAGATAATAAAAATGTAATTTTTTACAAAGGAAGAAATGTTTGGGTGGCTGATGAAGGACAGATGATCAAGGTCACTAGCATAGCCAAACTGACCTGAGACCCCAGCTGCTACCAGGGTCCTGCTCACTGCACACCCCCCAAGAACAGAGCCGGAACCCCCTGACCACTCCAGCCCTGTGGCTCATGGAGAAGGCAGACTTCCTCTATCCTGGAGCCCTAAGTGGGAGGAAGGGATGCCGCTGAGCTGGCTGAGAAGTCACACACCAGTGTGGCTGTATGTGGTAAAATGACCAAATGATCACAAACAGAACATTAAGCCAGGCACAATGGCTCACAATGTAATTCCAGCTACTCAGGAAGTGGAGATTATAGAGACCTTATTTGAAAAATGAACTAAAGCAAAAATTAAAAAATGCCTTTCTAGCATGTGTGCAGCTCGGTGTTCAAAACCTGTTCTCACCTCTGATTCCAACGAGGACAGTCAGGCCAAAGCAGATGAAGAAGACGACAAATACGAGGACAAAGTGGCGCTTGGACAGTGTGTAGAGCCGCATGGGGGCCAGCCTGAAGAGCAGAAACCGGGAGGGAATGAGGGACAGACAGGGAGACACCTGGGCCCGCATGCACCATGTCCTGCCCGAGGCCAGTTATGCCCCCGCAGCCCTCACCTGCTTCAAAACTGTGTGAGCACCCTTGACAATCCGCGGTGAGCTCTGCAGGGAGTGAACCATTCCTGTGTGTTCTGGGCTGGGCCCTGCCACTCCATCCATACCCAGCCCTCGTGGCAAAAGAAGGTGCTATGCTCTATGCCCACCAGAGCCGTGTCACACCATGGTGGTGGCCCAACTTTTCTTCCCACCCTCACCTCCACTCACAGAGCCTGACTCAATCATGCTCAAGTGCACGGCTGCAGCTGCGCCTGAGCCCAGCACACAGAGCCCCTCCCCTGCCCAGCAGCCTGGGCCAGAGCAGCCCACTTGCCACAACACGCAGCAGCAGCAGCAATGCTGAGGCCACAGGCCCAGTACCCTCCCCTCAGAAGAATATGCAGGCAAGGAATCCTGCCTGGCCAAGGCTTTGCAGCCCACATGCTGTGCCTTCCCAAGTGAGCAAGGTGTCACAGACACCCAAGTGAGGTCCGCACACGGCTGTGCCAGCGGCACGTGTGCCCTAAAGAGGTGCTCCCGCCTGAGGGAGGCGCTGGCCTTGCCTTGCTTGGCTGTAGGCCTCTGTAGCCCCAGCTCTTCCTGCTCTTGGGAGCCAGGGTGGCAGCAGGAATCTGACTCTTACACCCGGATGTGGGTGTGGCCCCACACCTCTGGAAAGGTTGTTGACCTTCTTTCCACGTGTGACTAGGACTGCAGTCACAGGGCGGAAGTCAGCAATGGGCTGGACAGACTTGGGACGAAGGTGAGGGCCAGAAGCCACCACGGCTCTGACGTGGCTCTGCAGAGACACTGGGGCACACTCAGCCCAGTGGACCTTGAGACCCATGTCAGCAGGCCCATCAAATGACAGTCCCGCCGAAGCCTCCAGTGTCCTTGCACCCTGCTCCACGAGAAGGGACACTAGGGAGTGAGGGACTGGTCCCCAGGCAGATGAGGGCCCAGAGGGCTTTATGTGTCAGAGCTGGACACGCCTCTGGGATGAGGCCACCTTCAGTTTACACCGAGGGGTTAGCTGGGGTTGAAAGGTGAAAGACCTGCCCAGGCATCACAGCCTTGCCCAGAGCAGCACTTGCTACACCATGGAGGGAATTCTGGGAAGTAGGCCCTAGCCCCTTACTTCTCTTCTGGGAAAGGCCGGTGGAATACAACCCAGCAAGAGATGGGCCTCCCCTTTATCCCTTCTCTGAGACCAGTGTACCCAGTCTATTACTCTCTTTGCACAATGTGTTTTAATCCATTTTCAATACTCTAAAGAAGAGCAGATTTCCAGGCAACTGCAAAGGACACTACCATGATGACAAAATGTATATGACGCTAAGTGTACTAGCATTGCACAGATGAGGGTGGCAGCTTTGACCAATGAGCCAGGTGACGTGAGGTGCTGACACCAAGGGAGGCTGATAAGCAATGTGTATCCAAACCTTCCCTGTCTTTGCCATTCTCCTCTGAAAGTTAAGATGAAGAAATTGCACTGAGCTAGTCATGAGTTTTTCCATTATACTATTCTCAGAGTGACCTGTCACCTGCCACCCCAAGCAGGTCTGTCCAGAGACAGAGCAGCTCCCCAAGCAGACACTAAGCAGGAAAAACAGGATATTACATTTCAAATTGTTGTTTTTTTGGGGTCCGGTCGTGGGACCTGAACTCTGGGCCTGGGCGCTGTCCCTCAGCTCTTCAGCTCAAGGCTAGCACTCTACCACTTGAGCCACAGTGCCACTTCCGGCTTTTTTCTTTTTG